CAATTGAGGGTTCGCAAAATGCAAGTTGTGCTACCAATTGTAAGCGAAATCTCTTTGATTACTTGTGATTCAAGCTTGTTCGGTCAGGAACTCAAGCGCCAGGCCCCAAATTAAGTCCGTCATCCTCTGCTTGCTTGGGAAAAGCTGGAGCCTGGAGCAAATCTTCTAATCCAATTCTGGGCACGGTCCTAGATTGGCTACTGCAACAATCCCCAAGTCATGTAATTCTGTAGTTCTAGTAAATACCATAGTTATACCCTTCATACCTGTCCCATGTCTGACTCTTGCAGGGTGAGGGTAGTAGCCAAGGCCTAGGCCTTACAAAAACCGGGTGGGGTGCGCAACCTTTTTGATAGCCAAACAAATACTTCAAGCTCCTTGATGACTCGAAGTGGGCTCTACTCTAGCGAACTTCTGAAACATCTTTTCCGTGTGCTGGTGCCTCCGGCTCTTCTTGTTCCTGCAAAGTCGCAGTTTCCACGCATGATCCCTCTACGTTTTGTAAAAAGGACCCCAAGAGTTTTCTTCTCCTACACATCCCTTGGGGTCCCTACAATCACCCCCAAGTTTAAGAAACTCCCAAATGTCTTGCGCCGTCTGACTCACCCGCGTGCCTGCTGCTGAGGGGCCTGTTCAGTGCGATGACCCCGGGCGAATCCTGACAGAATCGGTAGTTTCCACAATATAGGGGCCGTAAAAATTACCTATATTATTTGGGGGTTCCTCATCAGTTATACTTATAGTATAATATACCCCAAAACCCTATTTCTAATTGGTAAGGCCCCTAAATAACATGGGGGGGACCCAACAAAGATGGGGGACCACACTACAGACTCCTGAATATCATGATCCTTGATATTAGGGCTCCCCAAAGAGAGGGACTCTAAAATTTTGGAAGCCCTCAATTAGGGTACCCTTCCCATTCCCTTGGCAAGCGGTGATAAGACTCAAATAAGACTCAACGCATTGGATTCCCATGGGGCAAGGATTGGTATGACAACCAGATATTTGCAAAGCTTACGGGTGATTCGTAGGGAGCGGATCAACAGGTTTCCTGGATCTTGCGGGGAGTTCCTGTCCCTTCATGCGCTACTAACCACCGTCAAGAGAAAAAAAGAGGCGGTTTGATAGGCTTTCATTCCCCAAGCAGTTTACTGTAGGGGTCCAACCAAGCCGGATGCCTCGGCCGAGTCCGTGGAACCTTGTCTCTGCTTGTCTCCCCTTTGTCTTCCTTCATGTGGGTGGTCTCGGCCGAGTCCGTGGAATCCTTGTCTCTGCTGGTCTCCCCCTCGTCCCCCAAACAATGGACTGCAAAGGTTCTCTGTTTTCTCGAAAGTTCTGGCCTAGCCGGACGCCTCCCCGCCGGGTTCCTGGAATCCTTGTCTCTGCTTGCTCCCTTTGCCTTTCCTATGTGGGTGGCCTCGGACCGGGTTTATCGAATGCTTGTGTCCGCTTGTCTCCCTTCATGTGGGTGGCTTTGGCCGCGTCTCTGGAAAGCTTGCCTGCACTTGTCTCCCTTTGTCTCACTCCATCTGCATGGGTGGTCTTTTCTTGTGTCCCTTCATGTGAGTGGCCCCCAGCCGCTGGGCCCTTAACCCTGGCATCCTTCTGGACCTCCTATATACACTACATGTACCCTTACGGGTCCGTAGAATCACCCAAAAAAGCTTCAGAACCCATAGTAGGGGCAACTACTTGTAACCTTAAAAAACCATTGACAAAGGGCTTTGGGGCATCATGTGCACTGTCTAGGTCCTTGGCATCTCAGAGTTCAGTCAGAACATGGGCATGTGCAGAAGAATGCAAAGAGGGGCCATCCGCGTCACCCATGTGCCATCAGTAACATAATATAATTTAACATACAATACTATACCATAATATGCTATACTATACTGTAATAGAAGTAAAGGGATCTTGGTGACATTTGGTGACCCAACCCCAAAATTAGGACCTTGTTACAGTCTATTATCTTTAGGATTGGTACCTCCTCCTCCTCCTGCTCCTGCTCGTCCTCCTCCTCATCGCAATACTAGTGCGTGCAGTAGAAGCACTAGCAACAGCAATGTCAGCATGTAAGAGCGGGCAATAAGCAAGAGCAACAATACTAGGTAATCATAAGTAACAAACGATGAGCAGTGGGTAATCAGTAATGAGTGCGAAGCAGAAGTAGTACAGGTGATCAGAATACCAGCAAGGATGATAATTGGTATTTCTGCTTCTTGCGCCAATTGTATCGAAAGTAAACGTTCTCCGAATCCACACGAAAGCCTAAAGCCTGAGCGCTAAAGCTTTACCAGCGCACCCTAAGTGGCCTGATGCCCGCCGAACCCTAAGCTTTAACTAAACCCTTTACCCCAAACGTTAAACTCGCACACCCTCAACCCTTAAACCCTTAAGGCCTTAAACCCGCAAACCCTACATTCTCTGCATCCCAACCTCCTTCAAGTCTTGCTTCAGAGATCTGGGAGGTATTGGAGTTGCGACGACTGGGAGGAGCTTCCTGTCTGAACCCAAGGGTCTTCGAGGGCTTAGAGTTTTGGGTTTTGGGGTTTAGGGGTTTAGGGTCTAGGGAAAACTTCAAGGCCTCGAGTTCAATCACTTGCGGATTGTAGACGGTGAGGCTTTGTTTTCTTGGAGAGGTGAGGGGGGGTTAATGGGACGTGGGCGATACGAGACCGACTGACCTGTTATGCCGCACTTGTCTCGTTCAGGTTACAGTTCCACCATCATCAGCATCATCATCGTCATCATTATCATCACCTGCACTGAGCCCTGGACATCTACAGTGTACTGCATGGTGGCTCATGCTGTGTTATCCACCTGAAGGAACCTTAAGGAAGATACTCTCCTAGTATCCCCCATAATAAGCCCCGCGATACTCCCCTATATAGTCCCTTATAACACTAAACCACCCTTTAAGGAGTTTAGACTCTAGCTCAAGTGGAGGCATGACAGGGTAGCTCCTTACACTGAGCCGCTTCGTCGCTGACGCCTATCCAAGCATGGGCCGTAGCCCAAGCTCCCTTGAAGGGGGTTGATCTACAAGGGATATGTATCTCGGGGACAAATAGGGGTTAAATAGGGTTATATAGATATTTATATTGAGCAACGTTTTGCAAAATGGACTGGCAACAATGAGTGAGGAAGTCGACCTCAACCCTAAACCCCTGAACTTTAAACCCCAAACCCCTAAGCCCCAAACCCCTAAACCCTAAACCCCGAACCCTACCCTTCCTGACAAGCTCTTGCTTAATTAAGAGGGGACATGTTCCGGGCGTCCTTTCTTTGATTAGAAGAAATGGTTGCTGCCAAAATCATAGGGGGAACCCCAATTAGACACCCCAAGATACTGCAGTCCTTACTTATTCTAGTGACCCCCCAAAATGGTAGGTCTAATTTGGGAAACCCTAAATCCCTTCCCCAATTCGCAAGTCAGCATGAAGAAGTTTAGGGATGTGAATGGAGGTATTGAGACCCCGTCAAAGATGAACCAAGTCCAGCGAATAAAAGGGAAAAACGCTGAACTCCCAGGCGCTAAAACCCAATACCTACACCCCAAACCCTAAACCGCAAATCCTAAACCCTAAATCCTCAATCCTATCCGCTCTTGCCTCTTCTGGCTCTTTGCCAACTTGCTCCTCGCAGCTGGGGAGGCTTGAATTTCCCACGGAAGTCCAGCACTAGTGTCAAGAGAGATTTACTGTTAGGATTCAGGGTTTCGAGTCAAGGGCAGGGGGCTCCCTGGTGGGAGATGATTAAATTATTGTCTACTTGTAGACGGCTTATTGGGCTCTGGAATAAGCTACCGATTGAAAAGAAAACTACGTACAACAGTGTCAAGAGCGCAGGGGTCAAGGTTTGGAGTTTGGCGCGGTCGTTATAGCGGAGATTACACATTTACGGGTTTCCCTTTGGGAGCCTTTGGTCATAGCTAAGGTCATGCGAATTGAACTTGAAGCACAGGTCATGGGCCATCTTCTAAACAGCAGGAACTTGTGCATACGGCCCAGTGTACCTCCCAAGCAATACCGAAGTCATCCCACAGCCGCAAGGAACCACCGGCATTCAGGGACCAACTCGTCATCCTGCTTCACATGGGGGTAGGTGGAGAAACATCATAACACACCAAGCTAGGAACCTCGAACCCTACCGGTATAGGGTTTAGGGGTTAACCTGCCGAAGTTCCCAAGCCCTGAACCCTACACCTCCCACCAGCCCTCCCAGTCCCAAACCCTTAACTCCTCCACCCTAACCCGGTAAGCCCTCTAGACAATAATATACCATAACAGACTACAACGTACTATAATATACTATACATAAAACTATGGTCGATTCTAAACATAATATACAAAGACTATAGTATACCATGAGCCCCAAACCTTGAATCGCACTCCCAATAGCCTCGGCATCTGCATAGCCTTCAAGCCATTGCGCTTCAATCCTGGAGAGATGGTTTAGAGTTTAGGGTTTCTATTTTTAGGGTTCAGGGTTTGTATTTTTAGGGTTAGGGTTTCTATTTTTAGGGTTTGGGGTTTAGGGCTTTTATTCTTAGAGTTTAGGGTTTTGAGGGTCTGTCTACAAGGGTTTCGGGTTTAGGGTTCAGGGAAAGGGCTCAATCACCCACCAAACAACCCTTTCGGACAAAAGACATATTCCTGTAGTGTCCCCATGGAAGCCCCCCCCCAAAATGTTCTATAACTATTTCCTCATTACCTGCTAAGCACCGCGCAGTTGAGTTGGGAGTTTGCTCTTGCACTGTGGGAAGATGCGGCAGATTCTGTACAGTTTTGCGCTGGGTGCTGCGCATCTGAACTCAGATGCCAGTTGCACATTTGACAGACTTTCGGGGAAGCTACCGGCTCCGAATATCTTCTATGATTTGGATGTGGCTTGTTCTCCAACATATGGGCCTACCCTGGTTATAGAGTACATTACGGCACCTAATATTTCGGGGACTCTTGGAAGCACCCATGTGGTAGCTGCTTGGCCTAAAAAGGCTTTCAGCAGCCCGTCCTTCTGCGAATCCCCTTGCTGAGCAGTGCCACCGATGCCATCAAGCCGAGTGCCAAAGCCAGGAACAAGGGAAGTATCACCAAGTCCTGCAAAAAAGCAGCAACTCGAACAAATTTGGCTGAAGAACAGTAGCCAAGGGGGGGAAGCAACAACAGCTGGAGTAACGGTATGACCTTGCAAGGAGCAAGATTCTCTGTGGTGGAAACCAGGTATGGTATGGTGGCGTGCAACAAGTGGCCGAAATCACAGGAAGGACGGCTAACCATCAATTGGTCTGTTTGAATATGGTAGTGCGTGGAATATCTAGGCTCCAGTCGCTCCCGCGATGATGCATGTGCCTGCATGCTATGCCAACACCTCCTTAAAGCCTGAATGGACATTTCGACCAAGGGCTGGCCTTCAACTTTGGGCCGATTTAGACCAGCATGGGAAAAGTGAAGCGCGACACGCACACTATTTGGTGTTGGGAATACTCTCTTCTACTACGACTGCCACTGCTGCTGCTAGTGCTGGTGCTGCGTGCTGGCGCTGGTGCCGGCGGCGGAATAGGCGGCAGGGTCGGCGGCGACGGTGGTGGCGCTGGCAGAATGGCACGATACGGCACGATAATTACAACGGTTGTGCTCGTACCTCCAACTACCTCGTTCACGAATGCCTTTGGCATAGGCGGGGTAGGCTTGTATGAGGGTTATGCGGAAAGTCCTGGGGGGGGGGGGTTCAGCTCACAATGCAGACACGTGTCGGCCATGAGTCCAGAAGCAAAGAAAAGAGTAGTGAGAGAACGCTGCTGCCGCCTTCTCATTGACAATAGCACTACTCTGTCTGTACGAATTATTCTAACTCCAATACAGAAACAGAAGGAGCGGTCGCACCTAGTAGTCAGGAGCCCAAGCATGTCCTGGAGTAAGCTCATGCCAGTGCTCATTAACCAGCCGTGCGCATCTACCAGGCGGACGTTCGCCAAGAACAGCATAGTGTAGACCAAGCATACAAGCCTGTATTGCCAGGCTGATAGTGGAGGGCTGGAGGTGGAGGGCTTTTTGGGTTTGGGCCGGGACTGTTCGTCAACTTTCGGAGGTTCTCATAATGAGCCCAGATGTATGGGCCTGCTTGTTTTTCCCTCGTCTCTGAGCCATGATCCGCCCTAAACACTCCTAAACGATGCCAGGCGACGAATAGACCAACCAAATCAACCAAAATGCCACGGCTCGGCACTTCCAAACCCTCAACTGCCACCTCTTCGACTGTTCTGTCCAGTCCTCCACTGTGGAGGAGCTTCTCCAAACAATTGTTTCTATCTTTTCTTCAAGGGTTTCCTTCAACATCGATTTGGCTATTTTGTGGCTTCTACGTACGGGGGACAGAGGACCCGTCTTCGGCTTATATTGCCAGGGACCCACGAACATGCAGTTTGCAAGGTTGGTTGGGGCTCCTTGGTTGAGGCCTTGGACAAAGGGGTCTCTGGCGAAAAAACTCTAAGGGGCAGTTGGGGATTCCTGGAGCTGAGGCTATGAAATCAACTTCTAGCGCTTCGGCTGCGTACCTAGATGAGACTGGAGCTTGCAGTCCACCAGGAAGAGGGGTTCACAGAATGCCCAAGATACCAGGTGGCTGGAATCAGGTGGTGAAGCATATGCCCTTCGAAAGTAACAGTTGAGGCCAACTGCCTCAAGATCTCCCAAGATACTCTGGGGGCCTGCAAGGGATGCGGACTCCCAGCGAAACGCTAAACCCTAGGCCCTCAACCCTGACTCAAACCCTAAACCTTCATGGGTAAGACTCTCTGTTGCCAATGGGCCAGGGGAGAGGTCGTGCTGCGCAGGTTGCCCAAGTCAGCTGAAGGCAAGAAAAGCTGTCCGAAAGATCTTAGGGTTTAGCGATTCGGATCTTTTTTAAACATGGCCCTGGCCGCCTTCGTGACAGTGCTTAAGGTCTTGGGTTTAGGGCTTAGGGTTGAGGGTATTCAGGGTGTAAAACCCGAACCCCGCGGCCGCAGCAACAAAGGGAGCATCCGCAGCAAAACACAACGAGAGGCTTGCACAGGCAAGATTCCGTTTTGCCAAGATACGTGCTGCCAAGCAGACTTGTGCTCAAGGATTGTAGTATTTTGATTTGCCCTCACACTGCTGCGAGGATTTGAATTGCTTCTGTGTGGGAGGTTTGTGGAGGATTTGGCTCCGGCTACGCATTGCAAACTCCAAAGGCCATGCCTGGATCCATACACACTGAACCAAACCTGGCACCCAAAATCTATTGCCCTAAAGGTTCAGTGTCACGGTTTACGGTATTTCTGATATAGTGCCCCTTCGATGTTGTAATACAGCCCCCCCCCCCCCAACTACTGACAAGCACAATCTGAAGAGCCAGCCGCAGTCCTTTTCTATGGGACTGCGATTTTGAACCTCAGCTTGTTGGCGAGACTCCACTTCCTGCAATCATGCTTTCACTTCTGTTTCTTGTAGTATTGCTAGCTCCTTTGCCGTTGACATGCCAGTTCTCCTTTCAATCACCTACTACCCCAGGCCTGCCTGTTACCATAGGGCTAAACCCTACACCCTACACTAAACAACCTCAACTTTGTGACTGTATCAGTCATGACACCAAGAAGAGAGCGAAGACGATCATGTCACCGAGCAGTGCAGAGACCACACCCACCACAGTATTCCTCTGGGTTGCTGTTGCTAAGGAACCCTTATTAAATGACCATAATGGGTATCCCCTAATATGGTAACTTAAATTAGCAATCCTGGCGGCAACACGTTGGTGCATGTTTATTGCGGCTGGCGGTTTGCATGGACTTCAAACCCAGGTGTAGCCTCACCATAATCTACAAGCCCCGTTGCAATAGAGTGCTTATGAGGAACTCCCAAAAAACCAACATCTTTGAACTCCACCGGCACCCCTTCTATATGCATTGGGTGCACGGACTCGAAAGAAGCCTGTTCAAGAACTAGCCCTGTGAGGCTAGGCTCAATCTGAGACCATTGAGGCTTGTGGGTTTGCATGCGGGCTTCTGGCCAATCATTCGAAGAATTGACGTCAACCACCATGCCTGAAACTTTTTAGGGTTAAACTCTGATACGACGCAAGACTGTTTCAGGTGATAGCTCTCAGGGATTCGAAGTTTGTGGATTTTCAACCTCCGTGCACTGGCAACAATTACAGCTCCAACTGTTTCTTTGGACATTTACCCTGTCATGCGAAACCTACACACCCCCACCCCCTCAATTTTAATTTTGTCCGCCAACATCTAAGGTCTCTGACATTCCCGGCAATATTCAATACTAGGGGGTGCTTAGCTTTGGGCATGGTAGGGGCTTAGGGTTTAGGGTACTAGGGTACCACTATTTGCGCGAAGGTGACGTGGATTACTTGAGGAAGATCGAAGGTCTCTGTGTTGGACTACTTCTTCAACACTTCTTCATACCCAGAGAGCCCAATACTGCTTAATTAAGGAAGACACTTTAAACTAAAAGAGGGCTTCCTACTGTGACTTAAGCTATATTCCGTAATTAAGAAGTATTGGGCTCTCTTGGCAGGCCATGTGCATGCATAACGCATAGTCCATGCACCACACTCGTTTCCCACCCAGAACAAATATGCTTAAACCCCAAGCCCGAAAACAGTCAACCTGATGACAGAAGGTTGCCAAGTGGCTTTCATGTCATGACTATGACTAATGAGATTACTCCTGGTGCGAATGGTCCAGTTCTTCGTGTCAGCGAGGCTTCAGGGTTTCAGGGTTCGGGGTTTGGGGTTCAAGGTAGGGACAGAGTTGGCTGAGAATTGCAGGCGGCCCTTACGTGTTGAATTTGCTTGCGTCTCTGAGGGCCCCCTGTTTGAAAAAAAAACAGGCCCCTTTCCCTCAACTCCAAAGCCCAGAACCTAAACTTCATATCCAAAATCCTGAACCCTGGACCAACACCACAGAAACCCTTACTGCGACTGCTAAACCCTAAGACCCCCAAACCATAAACAAAACCTAAATCCCCCAAACACCCTAAACCCTCAACCCTATATGGTCCACATACGCAGCCATGTCTCTGCACAAGCTGCGCCACAAGAGTCTGCGGCTTTTTACAGTTTGGATCCGAGTCAGGACCCGGGGAGGAACTCGTGAAGAACCTAAGCAGATTGCAGGAGAATGTGGAGCTTCCGGCGCCCTCAACCCAAACCCTACACCCCAAACCCTGAAGCTTAAGGATTTTTTGTGGGTTTAGGTCGTGGTGTTCGGCTTTGGGAATCTAGGGTTAAGGGTTAAGGGCTTAACCAGGTGGCATGTGGGTCTCCGGCTTTGGGTTTAGGGTTTAGGCGTGACAAGTCAGACTGTTGTGCTCCACATTCCTCATCCTGCCCAGCAGCAAAGCACTTGTGCTCGCGGCGGTGCAGAGCTTCAGAAAGATCAGGGACACTCGCACCTCAAGGGGAACCGGGGTGTGAGGGGTAGTGGGCGCCATCAGAGAGGACAATGTATGATTCATGCAATTTTGGCAGTGAGGTTTTAGAGCCTGCTTCACCGTGAAATCTTTAAAGTTGCAAACCTGGATTTCAAGCAGATCTTCCTCCGAGCAAGGGTCCCGAAAAAAAGAGGGCAAAGTCTTCAACCCTAAGCTCTATACACTCCTAAGCCCTAAATCCAGCCCTCAAAGCCAGACCTTGTATGAGGTTAGCAGGCTCAGCCGCAGCAATGCGATCCAGGGGTGGAAGGCGGGGAACAGGAGGGCAACACGCCTGTACCTCGGCTCTACCAACAGGCCGGCTAAGGGTTTATGGCTTAGCGGTTTAGGGGCTAGCTGTAGAAGATGACAGCCTAAACCCGAAACCTTAAACCGCGTGGTGATGAAGGTCGACACTGCTGACAATTCTCCATGTTGTTTTTCGTCTGACTCTCCGTTATCAAGGAGACTATCCCGAAGCCCTAGGCTCAAGGCGTGAGGTAGTGGCCCCGGTCTTTTGAAGGTTGCAGTTCCTCTTTTGTGCAGTTTTCCTCGCATGGTTTTTCACAACTTTCGGAAGCTTTCTTTGGTGACTTTAGCTCTCGACGCTGGCAGAGTCCGCGCCGGACGGCGCAACAGCAGAAGCCATGGCAGCGCAGCAGGCGCAACCACTGGCAGAGCAGCCGGCGACTTCCCTTCCGCGGATGTCTCCTGCCCCGAAAGCTGCTCCACCCAGCGTGGTAATGGTCGAAGACAAAGGACGGATCTCCCAGAGCCTAACCCACAAATCTCCCGCACAATTCAATTGACGAACGGTTCACAAGTGGTTCGATTCACCACTAGTACGATTCACCTGCGGAAAACGGGCAAAGAGCCCCAGACTCTTTCGGAGGATCTGTTCCATGCTTCGGTTGGCAACCTCCAGCACAGTTATCGCTCAGCAACATGAGCAGGCTTTACAGCCTTCCTTGGATCTCCTTTCGGTGCGCATCCGCCAGGGCTGGACAGAAGTAGCTCCCTCATGCGGCTAGAGGGATTGGCTCTTCAGAGTTTGGAAGCAGACCAGATTCGCCGCACGGTCACACATTTTTGTCTCCCTGACGAGCACTTCTGGTACGCATGCTATCTTCTGGTCGACTCCTCCTACTTTGACGTTGTGAAACAAGAGCTTCCAAGGTTCTTTGGGGAACACCGTAAAGTTTCTCCAGGCGTCCGCAGCCGCCAGCAGGCAATCGCGGATATGGGTCTTGGCATGGACGACTACGGTCGCAAGGGAAGCAGGGTTCCAAGGGCTCCCGAAATATAGGCGAAGGCTCCAAAGGCAAGGGCAACGGCAAGCACTCCGAACATCCCCAGGGTTAATCCCGATCGGCATGGACAGGACGCAGATGATGGTAACGGTCGCAGGGATAACTACGCCAGAAGAAGTACAGATTCCCAACAGGCCCAAAGCTCCAATTACAATTGGAATTTCGGAGGTTTCGGAGGCTCCCGGCAAACCGGTTTCTTCCCTACCGTAGAGTCTTAGCTCCAAAAGATCGGCGGGAACGTTGGCGGAATACGCAGGTTTTTTTCAATTATGACCCCGACCAAGACTCCACCAGCCAGCGCCGAGAAAGCAATCGGCAAGGGCAGAAGGGAACCCGCAGCAGTGTCTTAGACGATGCTTCAAGTCTCTCTTTCCTTGTCAGGATTGTATGGCTTTGGCAGGCTCCAACCTTAACTGCAACAGGTGCCAGCATGAGCACCAGGTACACTTTGAGACTCTTCAATGTTCAAGGATGCTCCCGAGTCTTCACAATAGCCCCCCTTGCTTTCCGCGTTCTTTTCCGATCAACTCCTACAGTGAAAACTGTGATGCTGTAGTCTCTCCTTGGTACTTCGGTTGGGGTAAGTGTCCCACCTGCAAGCCTCTCCGCACATACTGTGGCAGGCCATGAGGATGATCCCGCCGAACCAGCTAGTCCGAATAATCATGTTCTTGCTACCGGTCATGAGCCCTGACTTTTGGAGTGCCTAGAGGACTCCACTCAGCAGTCTGAATTTTGCGATAAGATGTCTCGATTGGTTTTGCGCCGATGACTTGTTGGATCTCCCTCGGCTCTGGAATCTGCCGGATTACGTTGGCCTCCTGCATGCTCCCTCTCAACAGGACCTTCCCCCTGCAAAATTAGCCACCTACAAAGAGATGACCTGCTCTGACCCTCAGCTGTTGTCACCTCAGGTCGCAACCTGCTCACCACGTCCCTTTCGGAGCTCTTTGCCTGTTAAGGCTCGATATGTCAACACATGATTAACACTGACACTCGACACTTGTCAATTTTCGGTACCCTCTCTTGCAAATACCCGGAGCCTGCTCCTGTGGTACGGGAGGAGAGTGACTACACTTACACCAAAGATTTTTGCAAGGTCTTGGAAACAGATCTCCTTTCTCTTACCAGAAGCCGATTTCCTGACCCTCTCACTCCTTCCACCCGCCCCCCCCCATCCCAAATTTTTGTCGTTGCGTGCACAACCGGCTCCTGTCCTAAAAATAGAACTGTTTCCCTGGACAACCCAGCAGGCTGGGTTTTTGCGGCAACTAGCTCGATGGACTCAGCGGAGCCCTCACAAGGAACGGAATGGGAACTCTCATATAAACCCGTCCGAACTGCCCCCACTGACACTCATACTCTCCCAGAAGTGTCGGGTTCTAACAACATAGGGGAACTGAAGGCCCTTATCGAACTTTTTGATTATTTCCTTTACTATTCTAACCTCCCCTTCAGATATTACCGTCTACACTGACTCGGAATATGCTCTTCGCCTAGTTTTGGGTGACTCCCTTCCCAACACTCATCAACGATTTGTTAAGCGTGCACAGCAGTACTATATTGCCTTTCGCACTCTCCATTATGTTAAGTTGGAGAAATGAGCTGGGAACACTGGTGTCATTGGCAACGAGTTGGTCGGCTCTTTTGCCAAAAGGGTGGGTGTTCATGAATGTAACTTTCTTGGTCTTTTTCTTTCTCCCGTACGGCTGCGCTTTCTCCCCCTCATATTGGCTACTCCTCTGCCGCCTGACTTGCGTTCTCCTCCGATGAACAAAATCAAATTCTCCTTGATCCGAATCGCTCATTGCTAAGCTCACTGTCTCTCCTAAGAAATCCATGTACTCTCGAAATTATCAATACTTTCCAGCACAAAACGGATCTCACAGACAGGGAAGTGAAACAACATGGTAGTAGAATTAAGAACTCGCTCGTCGTGACAAAAAACAGTTCATCCTCCAGCATTTTCAAGAAGATTTTCATGGTTCCGCCATTCAGCAATGGCGCGCAGCGTGCTCCCTCCGCAAAGACTTCCGTCCCTCTCCCACTAACATAGTGAATACACACGGCAAGTTGGTCTCCCGCCCGGCCAGGGCTGAGACATTCGCGGGTTACCTAGGTTTGGAAGGCGCCATCTCCACAGGAGTGCCCGTCTTCCTGTCCCCTCCCCTCCCTCCATCACTCTGCACATAGTCTTGGGTTCTCTTAAAAAAACGCAGAGCCCCAGGACCCGATCAAATCCCTGCAGAACTTCTTCAGGATGCTCCATATGTGTTCCGAATGTTCCTCCTCGACCATTACAACCATTGCCTCTCCAGTGGAAAGGCTCCGGCTAGTTGGCTCCACTCGGAAGTCGTTAAAAAATATCACAATACCGCGTATAAAATCTCTGCCTGTGTGAGGGTTCCGTTCAGGATGTTCGGTTACTCGGCCGACTCACATTTTATTTCGTCTCCTTGAAGTCCACGAAGGACAGGCTAAGTCTTTTCACGCTGCTTTTATGGATTGGGCTCAGGCCTTTGACTCAGTAACCTTTCCAGCTGTTAATTCCTCCTTACAATATATGGGAGTTCCTAATTTGTTGACTGAGGCCATTTCCTCTCTTTATCGAATCAAAACCCTACTGTTGTTGGCAAGGATAGCAAGACTTCCTCCTTTCGCTGTACGCAAGCCCGCGGCCTCCTCCAAGGGTGCCCTTTTTTCCCATACTTGCTTAGTTTCGTTCTCACCCACCTCTTTGAGGATGTTGAGCACGAGTATGAAAAGACTCACGGCCTCATTTCGGGGGCGCTCCGCCTAATTAGGAACGCTTCTTTGGGACCTCAAGTGGATGACACCGTACGTTTTTGTCCACATCGGCATTTCAAGTCCGACACCTTCTCCATCTTGTTCAGAAAAAGAGCCCTGCGAGGTCTGCATTTAAATTACGATAAGTGTGACTCCATCTTCGCCAAAAACCCGTCCACAGAGTTAATTTTGACCCCGTTGTCTCCTTCCTCCAGTGGAAGACCTCCAAGTCCCGCTGTCGGACGCAATGAAATATGTAAGGGTATACCTACGCTCCAGCAATCACAAGAATGTTTCTACTCCAGTTTCCCGCACCGTGGAAGCCTCTAAGAAACTGGCCCCACTTATGAAACACGGGCAGCTCCCTTCCAATTTGAAGCTCCTGGTGTATAAATCTGTGGTCCAATCAATTCTTATTCGTCTGCTATGGATAGTATTCTCCTCAACTGGACTCTATTCACTATAAATGCAGAGTGTTAAAATAAAATCCTTTTTCTTACCATAGGATTCTCAACCCCTTCCTCCACCCAATGTTCCAAGTTCCAACCAATATTTAGCCGATTTGGCTTTCGCTTCCAGGCGAGTTATTTCCCCTGCTCAGATGTACTTCCAAAACCGCCTCACCTCACTAGGCCGTTTATATCGCCAACCCGAATCTCTTGAAACCCAAGCCACCTTGATGCCGTCAGCGGCGTATCGCCGCAGCAGGGGACCCAATAGGGCCGGCCGCCCTAAGCCACACTGGGTGGAGTTATGCTTAGTGGAAGCCTCCCGACGATTGGAACATTTGCAATCCGATGCGCCGCCGCCACACTCCCACATCGATCAGATTTTTCTATCCCGAGCGCCGCACAGATAAGAGAAACGCATTCCTCGCACTCCCTTGTCTGCCTGGCATAGAGCCTTTTGGCTTCGTGTTGTCAATAAGTCAAGTCGCAAAACCTTTAAGCGCCTCTGAGAAGGTCGCGACGGGGCCTAGCTTGGACCCTGCGCTTGCAAAAAAAGAAACCCCAAGCCCTAAATCAGGCCTAAAACGCGCTTTACTATCAGAAAAAGTGTGTGTATATATATATATATATTCCGTTTCTGCAGCTAGCACCTTCACCCCGCTGTTCATTCCACGCCAGGGTAGGGTTTAGGTGTTAAAACTCCACACCTTAAGCTTCCAGAGCTTCTAATTCGAGTGTACAACCCTAAACCCATCCTACAAACTGTAGAGCCTCTGAACCCTAAACTCTCTGAAGGGATTCGGAACCCAAACCCCGCTTTCATCCTCTCAGACTTGGAACAAATGCTTGACATAGTTCTATGGAGGCACACTGCAATTACACATATCAAGGCATTCCCAAACCCGAACCCTACACCCTAAACTCTGAACTTTAAGCCCCAAACCCCAAGCCCAATGCCCTAAGCGCTAGAACCCTCGCCCCAAACCCGAAACCCAAGAGTAGGGGCCCAAATAATTATCAGTTTACGATAATTCGACTATGATGGGCCCCAAGACCTTATTCTAGTTATGAAGGCCCCTATATTAAACCCTAAACCCTAAACGTAATATATTATATTTAATAATAGTATAGTCTACCCCAAACCCCAATTCTGATTACTAAGGCCCCTATATTCAAACCCCAACTCGCACGACTTGGCTCCGGTGCCAACGGCTGCCGAGCATGCACTGGACGGTGCTGGCCCCGTGGATGTGGACATTCCATCGGGCGCCCAAGTCCTGGGCGAATCTCAGCTCTGGCTTGTTTTTTTGCGGTTTGGGGTTGAGGGTTTTGTAGTTTCAGGGTTTGGGGTTTCGGGTTTGGGGTTTCGGGTTTTGTGGCTTTTGCTGGCTTGGGGTTTGGGGGTTTCTGGCTGCAATCAGCACTTTGGATCAACCCTACCACCGTAAGCCCCGAAAACCCGAAACCCTCAGACCCTGAAGCCCTGAAACCTAAGACCCCAAAGCCTCAGCACCCAAGACATCTTCGAAAGCCGTAAATCTGGTTCAAAACAAAAGCCCAGATTCTCGAAGCGCCTTGCCGAAGCCGTCCATATTGGTGCCCAGGCCCACTTCCTGGGGGGATTCTCCAAGATCGACACTCAAGGGTTTTGGGTCCAGGGTTTAAGGTTGAGGCTCTACGGCCATCTAGGGGTTCAGGGATGTAGGGTTTAGGGTTATAGGGCTTAAGGTTTAGGGTTTAGGGTTTCACTTGAAGTGTGAGGCAGCCAACACTAGCCTGCCAGCCTTCGTGTAAGCTCAGTATTGCAGGGCGCTAACAAGTTTCCAGCCTCAAAGCCCTGCGGCCCTAAACCCTATAAACCATAAACCCCCAAGCCCAAGGAGAGACCACAAGCATTCCATATCCGTTCAGCTCCCTCATGCCCTTTCAACATCCTTGACAGCGGCATGCTGCGTATTGAGTACCAACGGGTGGGGAACTCCAAATTCGAAATAAGGCTTTAGGGTCGAAGGGTTTAGGGAACCCTAAACCCTAAACCCTCGGGGAACTTGTATCTCCCATCGCCAAACCCAAACACAACACCCTGAATCTCACGCTCTGAAATTTTGAAGCCACCAAAGAAGGCCACACTAAACCCTGAACCATGCTGTACCCAAATCCTAAGCTCGGAGCCCTAAAGTCTGAATTCGAACCACAAACCCTGAACCCGAACCCTAACCCCCAAACCCTGAACCCAAACCCTTAATCCTAAACCCTACACTCTGACCCTAAACCTCCAATCAGAGCTCCCTATTTGGCCCGGGAGGGCCTGTACCAAGCGAGAAAAACGGCTCCGGCGGGCAACGGTCCGACTGATCTGCCGGTTGACGGGCTCCTCCTGGTGGATTCAGGGCTTCAGGTCTAGGGGTCCTTACTTCCCCACAAAGCCAGAGAAATAAAAGGTTAAACTTTCAGGTTACTACTATATTATAAGAACCCAAAAAAGTTCAAAGGTTGGGTTCTGGAGGACTAAGGGTCTGGGGCTTGGGGATATAAAGCTTCGAAATGATGACGGGGACGGCTTTCTTGGAACCCCAGACCCCCAAAACTCTCACCCTGATTATGGGGACCCCCAAAAGGGTACCCTTAACTTCGGGAACCCTAAACCCTAAACCCTGGGAGCTCCAACATTTCCTTTCTTGGCGAGAGCTGAGGGCCGGATTGATCTAAGCCAAAGCCTGGAAGCCTAGAAGCCCCAGAAGGGTTGAATATAGGGGCCTTAATAATTAGCATAGGGTTTTGGGGTTCCTTGGAAGGGCTCCTTCAACAGTTCTATAAGGGCTACTGTAAGGGTTCAGGATTTAGGGGCCTTAATGATTGGAATAGGGTATTTGGGGGCCCGTGATACTATAATTATACTATGGAACCCCAAAACAGTATAGTTAATTATTTAAGCACCGATATTACACCAGGGCTTCGTGATCCCATACCCCAAAACGGACCCTAAATGCCCTAAACTTACTACATTAGGGTTTAGGGTTTAAGAGCTTCGGGTGTAAGGGTTTAGGGGCCCAGAAGTCCTTTGAACCCAGAGGCCCAAAGTCCTCCAATTCGAACTTTTCGTCGGGCTGCAGGATGATTGCAAGGCTATCCTTGGCCACACCGCTCCGATGTGCGTGCAGGGACCTGATCATGCGTGAGCTTCACGTGAAGGCTTTCTAGGGAGAGCTGCAAGGAAGGACTTGTGGTTCAAGCCTTCAATCAGGGTTTGGGGTTGAGGGTTTAGGGCTCAGGGTTCAAGGCATAGAGCTTGGGAACATTTGGGGCTTCTTGTTGTGGTTGGAAGTGTGAAGAAGTCGAGGTTGTGGTACTTTACAGCTTAACCAGCTTAGGGCGACGCCGGCAACGATAGCTGGTTGTCTGATGCCAGCTTACTGTCATGCAAACAATGGTTAGTTTAATCTTCAAGACAGAGTAACCTTATTCCCGCCAGCGTTTCTTTTCACCTTGCAATACTCGTTTGCGTTTACCCCAGGTTTTTCAATCACATCCCTATCAGAATTACTTGAATTCCCTCTGCTCGGCCTTAGCCGTCAGCATGCTTAATACCTGGGAAGATGCATTTTTGTACCTGTGACCTTGCCGTCCTAAGTTTCACCGCGAGCTTCACGCAAGCCTTGCGTGCCCTCTGCCGACACACCTCTGTGTTTGGACGTGCCCCCTTAACCCTGAACCGTAAATCCTAAACCGTACATTCCAAACCCCAAGCCGTAAGTCCTAAACCCTAAGGCTTAAGCCCCCGGCCTGATGCACCTGTTCACGCTAGCCTCTGGAGCCTTGCACTCCAAGATCAACCCGGCGATATCTTGGACGCCGAAGCAAATGCCTGTCCGAGACATTTGCCTATCATTGTGGTCATTACTCTTACCACTATATTGCGAGTTCGACTGACACTCGTATATTATTGCTGTTATTTTCATTATTATTCCTCTCGCTACTATTATGGAGCATTGGTGATGACCGCTTCGCTTCCGAACGGAGAAAGTAAAGTAAGCGAGTGTTGTGCCATAGAGCGAGCAATAATTTGAATAGGGTGTTGGGGTATACTGTACGATATTTATAATACGGAACCCATAATACAAGTATAGGTAATGTTTGTGGCCCCGATATTACAGTCCCAAGAAGAAACGCGAGATCTCCCCAGCCTCCCGGGCTGAGTAGGATTTCAGGTTTAGGGTTGAGGGTTTATAAGCTCAAACCCTTTGAGGGTTCAGGGTGCAGGGTTTAGGGTTTCCAAAAATCAGCGAAGCTAGCCCAAGAATTTGAGAAACAGTGGGCTTGTTCCCAAGCCTGCGCACCACAAGGTCCAATCCTTGGCCTCTGCCACTCGCTGCATGCACCAACCCTTGGGGACCTCCACCCAGGGTTTAGGTTTTAGGGTTTAAGGTTTTAGGCTTTGGGGCTTGCTTTTGCAGGTTTGTTTAGGGTTTAGGCTTTTGGGGGTCTAGGGCGTAGATGCTCGTGGTTCAGGGCTTACCGACGGAACATGCGTCAGTCTGCACATTCACCTACTCAAAGTTCGCGACTCTGCGTATTTTTAAGTTTGCTTCATCCTTTTTCATAGCAAGTCGTTGCAGGGTTCCGTCGCGCGCTCAAGTAGTTATCAAAAACAGGCTAGTGCGGTCAGGGGTTTGGATTGATTTTTCATCGCGGCCTCCGTCGAAGTGCAACTTTTGGGCATGTTGTTCGTACTTGTTTGGGGGATGAATTTTGGGGAAGCATCTCCTTGGCTCTGCAGCCTAGTAAGATTATCTTCATGTAATATAAAGTATTATACCCCAAGAGGAGGACATAATCTTACTCTGTATCGAGTATCATAGTATCTCCAAGCAAGACTTTTATCTAGTGCCAGCAGAAACTCCAACAGAAGCAAGGCCCATCCCAATCCCGTAAACCCTAAACCATGAACCCTAAACCCTGGCCCTAACCCTAACCCCTCAGCCCTAAACCCTAGAGCCCTAAAGCTGGGACCTCCTCCTCCGCCTTGGAGGCCGGAGCCTGTCTGAAGAGTGCGGGCTCAATCTCCTGGAACATGGTGGGTTTAGGGTGTAGGGGTTTAAGGGTTTACGGGCTTAGGGTTTAGGGAACATGGGGCTTCTCAGGGCCTCAAAACGTCTCATGCATAGACGGATCACCAGGACTTGCCTTGAGGCGTGGGCATTTTTTTTGCTGTTCCACGTGGAAATGAGGTTCAGTGTTGTCTAGACCATCATGCCCCACATCTAAATCATAAGCATGCCCACAACACAACAACAAGACCCTTCAGTAAGAAAATCCTTCATGAGAACCACATGGTCATGGTCATCAGAATGTCAGCAATATCATGGTGACTTTCCTCCTTATCCTGCTGCGGTTCCTATCGCTTCACGCGCTACTGCTACCGCACCTACTACTGTTGATACAAGAACCCACTGGCTCAGACCGTTCTCCTCCCAGGGTACCATGTTTTGGTTCCGTCGGTCCACCAAGGCAGCACGGGCGAAGACCAGCGCAAAGAGTGCCTGTGGCATATGATTATGTGTATACACATGGGTTTAGGGTTTTGGGAATACAAGCACGTGTGTGTGTGTGTACATGTACATATGATCTAAGGTTGCCAGGCCTTCTCATGCTGTCACCCCAGTTCTTCTGTCACTATTGGCCACGAATTTATTTGGAGTTTCCTGGGATGTCGAGCCAGCTTACGGTATAGCCTAAGTAGAGCTATAGTCCCAGGTATAAGCAGAACAACATCCCATGCGCATCCAAGCAGAGGTTTGCTGAAGCCCTATAAGAGGTAGGTTCTTGGCGACAAGCAGTAAGTGCTCACGTGTGGGCAGAGTGAAGCATGGGTTGTAACTCCCTCTCTGTAAGAATAACCCCCCAACCCCTTAATATTAAATACAACTTTAAATACTACCAACATATTTTAACATACCATACAGGGGTGGCGGAGGTTTAATAATAGGGGGAGCGGATTACTCCCCAGAGATGGCGCTTTTGCAGACGCGACGAAAACATCACTGTGAGTGTTGGCATTTATTGAAGCGCGAAAACGGAGCGAAGGTCTAAGAGTGACGGCAGGTAGTATAATAGTAATAATAGCAACAATAGCAATACTAGTACTAATGCTAGTCATAACCATATTAACAGTATTACAACTCACTTGAACAATTGCTATAGCAAATAATAAAAAGAATAATAGCAATACGGGAAAAAGCGTAATAACAGGATCGCGACCCTTGGCCCATCCCTGTGACTGGTGGCACTTTCGATTCGAGACTCGACAGTGACGACAGTGACAGTAAGCCCTAAACCCTAAACCCTAAGCCTTATGAACCGCGCTACAAGGATGGCAGCTTCTGTGGGGTCCAAAAAGGACGACCGCGAGGGGTGCCATCCCTGTTACTGTTGGCATTTTCGGGACCATACCAGGCAGGAGGGCCAGGAATCCCGGCACCGGGATCATTTCTACATACATTTGTGCTGGTGAGCTTCGGGGAATGTGTGCTCAGATGTCTTTTTGTACCAAGTATGCACTATCTATGTGGAGAACCTTCCCTGATTGTTATCAGAACTCTTCGCCTGCCTCTACAACAGAAACCTTAAGCTCAATGCCACAACCAAAGGTGAGTAGCGTTGTTCTTCTTTATACAAAAAAAAATAGGCCCAAAAGGAGGCCTGAGTCTTACTCTATATGAACTGCAGGCACACCTGCCAGTACCCCCCTTCATGACCCCAAAATGCTCCCCTATATAACCCCCTTGAAGGAGCCTAGACTATTTCTGATATGGGGTACCCTTTGAAGCTAATTGGGGCTTAGGGTTGAACGTCTAGGTATATAGGCAGCTAAAGTTAATTGGAAGGCGGCACCTTAAAACTCACGCGCGCACCATCCCCGATACTCTCCGGAATCACCCTGAGAGGCTCCCGAGATCTCCCGAGCTTATTTCCACGAAGTGCCGCATGGCCGGACTTTACACCCCAGCTTCGTCGGGCTTATGCTTGTATTGCGTGCAGCTCGTATGGCATGCGGTGAATCGTGAGTTTGTCAACTGATGTCTTGCTTATCAGGGAACTCTCTCATCCTAGTTCAAGTTGTTTATAGTTGACATCGAGGCCCTGTCTAGTGAAGTTGTCGTTGCACTTCTTTCGCGCCCTTTAGAAATAACCTTTCATACTGCCCTGTTTCACTATCGTTCAGGAACTCCAGCGTCCAAAAAGCTTATTTACTTTTTGGGGTAGAATATTCATGAGCGGCAAAAAGTTACCACTTTTCTAAGCACCGCCTTCCCAGGCATCGCTCCAAGGCAACCCTGAGCGCAAAGTACAAAGCTACATGTAGGATTTTGATTATGGTTCCCCCGTTCTCGTGAGTGGACACCACTATATACACTCCCCAACTCCTACAAAACCAGATGCACCCTCAACACATGCCAGAACTAAAGCTCAACTTCAGCCAAGGGCACCAGGAAGACGAAGACAGAGACTGCTGGGAGGGTCGACTGCCACTTTGTCTCCTTGAATAGAACACCCAACCACCCAAATCAGCACCCCATTAGATTCACAAGGTAGCCATTGGGCTTCTAATTTGGGGCCTAGCGTTACCAAACTCCTCTTTTCAAACGGTTACGTGGGCTTTGAGTGTCACAGGTTTCAGGCTTGTACTGTACCTCTGGGTTTGGGAATCCGTTTTAGGGACGTTAAAGAACTCCATTGGCTCGTAGAAGGGCTACATTATGGCCACAACCCTGCAGTGGAGACTTTCTTAACCTGATTATTTTGGGATCCCTCTTTTGGAGTCCCTCCAATTCCTATATGACCCATAGTCTAAACTCCAAGTCTCCCCTTAAACAAAGTTGCATTCAATTCAAACTCCTGCACACATTTCCCCCTGGCAGGTTCGCAGATGCGTGCGATTCCCTTGCCTTGGCTTGGATGAGGAGCCTTGTTTGGGGCCTTTACTCTTGAATCTGCTTGCGGTACAGAGTATGACCTCCACCTTTGGACGCAGCCCTGAACCCTAAAGCCTAAACCCCAAACTATGCCAGATGTGCCTGACAACTACGTAAACCAGGCTAGATTCATGACTTACCGGTCCTGAGTCGGGAAGAAGGATTTTAATCTAAAGGAGTTTTGTTGAATCCTTCAGGGCCCACCGGGTGGGGCTGAAGGAGTATTGTTGAATCCTTCAGGGCCCACCAGGTGGGACTGGAGGATTTTTTTTCGAATTCTTCAGTGCTGTTGAATCCTGCACAGCCCACCGGGTGGGGCTGAAGGCTTTTTTGTTGAATCCTTCAGGGCCCACCGGGTGGGGCTGAAGGAGTATTATTGAATCCTTCAGGGCCCACCAGGTGGGACTGGAGGATTTTTTTTCGAATTCGTCAGTGCTGTTGAATCCTTCAGGGCCCACCGGGTGGGGCTGAAGGATTTTTGTTGAATCCTGCACAGCCCACCGGGTGGGGCTGAAGGCTTTTTGTTGAATCCTTCAGGGCTCACCGGGTGGGGCTAAAGGATTTTTGTTGAATCCTTCAGGGCCCACTGGTAGGAGGCCCTGTCAAGAACCCTTAAGATGACGGAGCATTATCTCAAAGATGGTAAGGTAAGGCAAAGAAGTACTCTCCGGTTGTGAAAAAACACCCCAAACACTAAACCCTAAACCCTGAACGCTAAACGTGTATAGAGGGCAAACTCTTGCTCCACGTCGGACCTGCACGAAACACGCCCGCTGACCAAAGCTCCTTCTAAAAACCCTTACTTCTGAGCTTAGAAGTATGGTCCTTAATATGAGCCCTTAGGTCCGTGGTTAGAAGTATCCGCCCCAAATGTGACCCAAAGGGTAGGTCTATGAAGATCCGAGGGCTTAGGGCCCATCCTAGGGGCCCATGGTTTCAAGCTTAGACTACTCATGAAAAAACACCGAAGCTAACTTTCTATCACTCAATCCTCTATGTTATGCCTGCTAGGTTTAGGAACACCTCACAAGCAAATCATGAGCCAAAACTGCTGTGGGCAGAAGAAGTTTCCGATAAGCGCTGAAATCCAGCGGGGGTTAGCAGCTCCCAAGCGCTGCTGCCTTAGCTGATCGGGCTTTGGGCCGCGGTTATATGCAGGGTTAGGGCGTTTCGGGGTTAGGGCTAAAGGCGTAAACAGCAAGATTAGGATCATTTCGGGACTCGTCTTGAAAACAAGAATCCGTTACGGAGCATGAACTGCTATCTAAGACAAGATGTCCCCCATGATCGCCCTGACGCCATGGTTTGTAGCCGAGAAGTGAGGGAATATAACCCTGAAGTCTCCTCCTAATAGACTATACTATAGGGGACTTTATAATTGGAGTAGGGTTTGGGGTATGTCATACTATCATCATAATACGGAACCCCAAAACCCTATTCTAATTAGTAAGGCCCTAGATTGTCTCTTATTTCTTCCCTACTAAGAAAAAGCAAGCTGACTGGGATTGCATCGCAGGCTAACCTGCAAGGATTTCAATAGACGTCAGGTCTCTAGATCCCCTGTTGTAATGAATCCCAATAACGGAACTTCTGAATATTCCTTGAACCTTCCCAATGTAGCAACATGTAGTACTGAGGGTCATTTCGGGTGGCTTCATCTTTTTGATCCTGTCGGTGGCTACGGCAAAAGCCTGGCGAGAATCCTCAGAGCCACATGTATACCATTAAAAAAACACATATATATATATATCTATGTCCGCTGTAATCAAAACTCCTCCACGGGAGTTATATAGGGCGTTCTACAGAGGAGTATTCCAAAGGTTATTTAGGGGGAATACTAGGAATTTAGACTCTAGCTCAAACCTACATACGCATACACTGTGGACACTTATCTACTCTTGACATAACCATCAGGCTTCCATAAGGTATATAGACCTTCTATCAGGCTCCTATAACGGCGGCTACCCACCTGAAACTGTCCCAGAATAGGAAGATGACCCAATGTTGTTCTAGCCACAAGCGAGGGCCAGGAGCGCATTGTCCCAAATGACCTGCACTTCAGGTTTCAGGTGTTAGAGTTGTGCCCTTATCTTGTCTTGCAGTTTAGGCCTTGAGGGCTTCGGGTTTGGGGCTAAGAATTACTTACGGTCTTTCGAACAGACTTCGGGGTCATACATACGCTAAACCCTATCATCAACCCTCCTCCAGATCCATCTTCCTAATAAGCCACATTGTATTGGGAATTTCTAGTAAAACAGAAAACCCCATGGAGCTCACGCACTCTGCAGGCGCACCTATAGTACCAGTTCTTGTGAATAGTCTCGCGTCAGCTTTAGACGCAAACACTTTGCCAGTGCTGCTGCGTTTAGAGGTTCGGTGGCTTCGGTGGCTTCGTGGCATATGGGCCATAGTCTAAACTCCTAGTATCCCCCTTAATAACCCCAACTATAGTCTCCTGAATCATCCCTTACATCACCTCTGTGAAGGAGTTTTTAGATTCTGGGTCTGGGGTTGAGGGATTGGGGGTGTTGTGCATCAGTGAGGTCCTACACATCAAGCAGAGTAGCTTTGGGCAGTTTCGCTGGTTGCGCTACGTTGCGCGGAATCGGTGAAGAATGGGAGATGGCACCCCCGCACGAAGCCCACAACAGCCTTCGCTGAGCATGAGGCGCTCTGCAACTTCTGCTTCTGCACCAGAAACAGCGAACCCTGAATCCCGAACCTTAATTACTGCAAAGCCTGAGCCCTAAACCCCACCTGGGCTACAGCGCCGAAGATAGAGAGATGGACAGTCAAGCACGTAATCTGCCCCGGAACAGGGTCCTTGATGCAGGGGCTTTAGGGCTTAGGGTGTGTAGGGTCTCTTCATGAGGTTTGTGGGTTTTGTGGGGCTTGCTTCTTCACAGGGCTTCGGCTTTTTCAGGTTTAGGCTTCGAGTGGTTTGGGGTGGGGCTTGCAGGGGCTTTTGTAGAACTCCCCAGACAGCCCAATACCCCTTAGTTAAGGAAAGTTTAGGTTCAATCATATATATATATATATATGTACATACATATTTCATTTTTCTCCTGAATTTAGGCGTACTGGGCTCTCTGAACTCAGCACCCCTACCGAGGCAGAACTCGGACTCGAACGTCCCCCCCGAAACCAGGGGCCAAAAAGGGATTGGATGGTTTCTCTCGTATGGGCCCTGCCAGGGTCTATGTAATGACGTCCGACATCCAAGCGCTAAGCGCGTCACATATGAGCTGTAGTCTACTAATTAACCCTTTGCCTTCGATACTCACCGATATACTCCCTATATAACCCCCTTTAGGGAGCTTAGACTATAGCTCATATGGTCCATTCCCTTACGAGATGAACCCTGAACCCCTAAACCCTAAACCCTTACGTGACGACGAACTCACATGGAACCGTGGTGATCTAAAGACCAGGGTTGTACAGGGAGGCCTTCCGTGAACAACAAGCAGGGGGTTTTAGGAATAAGTGTATTTGGTGGTTAGGGCTCAGGGTTTAGTGTATTTGGGGTTTAGGGTTTAGGGTCAAAAGTATTTTGGGTTTCGGGCTTCGGGTTTAGTGCATTTGGGGTTTAAGGCTTTAACATACGATCCACAGGCTGTTTCCAAGCAGCAGGGATACCATTTTGGGGATCCCGACGAAAAGGATCAAATCAAAGTCTGTTGGAATCTACGTTGGGGTCCCTCGAAGTACCAAAACTAGCAAAAAGCCACTGAACCCCAGAGAGCCCAATACCCCTTAATTAAGGAAGATGCCTTCTTCGGATTCTGGGTTAAGATAATGTAGGGGCCTCAATAATTACCTACACTATTTTGAGGGTTCCTTATTATAATTATACTATAAAGGGCCCAAAAACCCTATTCTAATTGTTGAGGCTCCTATATTATACTCCTCAATTCAAGGGTCTTGGACTCTCTGGGCCCTAAATAAAAATCAACCCGAGCCTCAAAGCTAAAGAATCGAAGGTCGCAGGAACAGGGATTTCGGGGTAGGGCTTTTAGTATGCTGTAACATTCTATACAATGGTTCTACAATACGGGCAGTTCTCTAAATTAGGGTCCCCTTTCGGATCCCCAATATAGTAAGGCAACCTTACAAAAAGGACCCTAATGATCTAGAGAACTACCCAACAACTACAGTGCGAATCTTATAGCCTGAAAGCCCAAACCTCCCCAGTCCCCTGATGACTGACGTCCTAGGCTGTACGCCACCCTGAAACACCTGAACCCTAAACCCCATATAACCCCAGTACAGTATATATAAAATAGTATAATACAGTACAGTAGCTTCCATTCTCTTTTCCATTCTCCTATTATTGCCATAAACCTAACGCAGCTGCCAGATCATGAGGAGCGGCGGGCACCGTTGTGACTCCACGCGGGGACCAGCGCTTTTCCTGCTTTGCAAAGACTGTCTCCCTGGAGGTCATCAACTAATGGAGAACCAGGTGCTATCAGGATTCATCGTGAAGGCAGGGTCTACGCCATTTCCTTGGGATTTTGGATTTGCTATGCACGTTGAGGGTTGGCGCGAAGGGGCCCGTAGGAAATGTCTCTGGACCTGTGACCTTCAAAGGGGGTTAGAGTTAGAGAATGCCGACAGCTCAAAATCTGATTCAGCGTAGGATCTCGTTCGTCCCAGAAGGCGCATGTGGCGTTCTCCATGTCCGTCTTGATCCTCATTTCTCAGGGTTTAAGGCCAGGGAATACAGTTAAATAGCTCGGGGTCTCTGGCTTCCATGGGTCCGGTTGCTTTGCAAAATTCAAGAGGGAGGCCTGGAATTGAGGTTGTATGATCCATATAGGAAGCGAAGGTTGAGACAAGACTTTAAAACCCATAACGTGGCAAACAATCCCTGCGTGGCCCCTCGTCCAAACGAGACTGGAGCTAATGGCTCACCTGAATTTTGAAACATTACACGAATGGAACCCTTTCCTAGGGGCTCGGGTTTGAGGCTTAACGATATAGGGCTTTTCCCGTATTGTCAAGACGGTCCTAGCGGCACCCTATTTTCACAAAACCCCACCCTAAACCCTAAACCCTAAATCTTTAACCCTTAACCCTTACCTGAACCCTTAACCCTAAACCCTAAACCCTCAACCCTAAGCCGAGGATCACAATCCGAAGAGGAACGTCCAGGTTTTGCACGCTGAGTTCCGATCCATCAGGAGCTCGCATGTTGATGCTGACCTTACTGAAGAGCGTGTTCGGGACAAGAAGCCCAGAGAGTAGACCTTAAATCATATACAAGGGGTTTATATTATGATTTAAGGCATATTCCTTATTCAGGGGTGTTGGGCTCTCTGGGAAACTACTGACGGCTGCTCACGAAGGTCTATGAGCAGTGAAGTGGATGTAAGCTTTCAGTACCTCGGACATCGGCGGCCGAAAAGGTGGACGAAAAGCAAACAGGTGTGCACTCGAGCAGCGAACACATACAGATTTTTAACAGCATGAACTCAGGTAATACTGAATGCTAGTGTCTACGAGTGTATGGTGATTGGGATCCACTTCCCCACACTCGGTTTCCACCCGGCACCCCAAAATCTCAAAACTGGGGGTCACAATACTATCACCCCCAAGAGCCCCCCTCCCCAGACTTCTTAGTCAGCCTTAAATCCCTTAATATATTTATAGTATAAGATACACCAAAACCATATTCTAACCATTAACCCCCTACATTGCTCTTTCATGCCCTCCTTAAGCCGGGGCGGGTGCCCTTGCTGAGATGGTGCCTTTTTCAAACAGGAGCCTGAATAATCAGAATGGGTTTTTGGGGCCCATTACACTATAATCATAATAAGGAACCCGCAAAATAGTGTTGGTAATTGCTTAGGCCCCTATGTCTAATCCTTGATAAGAGCCCAGCAAGCCCTGGCCCAGTCGCAGCATGCGATCCGACCAAGGACGTTGCTTCGCCTTCAACTCTGCGATCGTGGAGCTTACCTAAAGGCGGACTCAGAAAATTCAGAGGTGTAGGGTTCAGGGCCCTTCGGGCTTAAGTTTTGGGGGGAGTTTAGGAGCTTTCGGATTTAGGTTGAGGCTGTGGGGTTTAGGGGCCCCCAAGACCCGAACCGTGAAACCCCAAGCCGATGAAGCTTCTGCTCCGGATGCGGGAGGCAGGCTTTGCTTAAAGACCTTCTGAGGCAAGGCACCCCCGAATGTGAAACATGTACACCACCTGGGCCCTGTCGCGATATTGGACGAAGGGCGAGTTGAATAAAGGCAGTATAGGTGCGTGCCCCAAGCTGCCCCTGATCTTTGGACATCCCGCAACTTGAACAGAGAAGAGACTTCACTGACAACCTTTGCCTCGAAACCCCCCATTCTGACAAGCGGCACAATTTGCGGACAGGGGTTTGGTTTTGAGCTTCTAGAACCCTCAACCCTTACAGCGCGTTTGGAGCTTATCTTGCGACCAGTTTAACACCCTTACAGTGATACCAGGAAGGTGACTGCAAAGTCAGCGAAAAAAGCCGTTCTGCTTTCTTGCAGAGGGTTAGTGAGCAATCTGAGTCATCGCCCACCTCAGGCGCATCACATCAGAACCAAGGTTGGCCCTTTTAAGCCCCTGAAAAATACTCGTAAGTAAGATCCTCCAAGCCCAATAAGGGACAATCTTGTCCCAAAGGCCTACCTAGGAACGCAGTTTTCACACAATCTGGCCCGTTCTACCGAAACCTCACCCCACGCCCCAAGAAACCCACGAAATGGAGGCCCGCGCTGCTTATTGGCCATCGAAAAGGAGTGGCGGGTTTGGGGTTGACGCCTCAGGGCTCAATGTTCAGGATCACATGACCCCCGAACCTAAAGCCCTCAACTCCATTTCAAGCCCTGCTGAAAGTGGTTTAGCCAAAGGGCTTGCAACCTGCGATTTGATGGTGGTGATGCTCAGCAGGACAGCTCCTGTTTCTCCGGCTGCTGTCGCGGCTTGGGCCAACACCTGAAACGGAGCATCTCGGAGAAATCTGATGGGTCCCCATGCCCAGGTAGTAGTCTCTGGAATCATGTGTAACTCATGCCCTACGCCCTAGACCCTCAACCCTGAACCCGAAAAACAAACCCTCAACGCTGTCCTGAGGACTCTGCATGTTAAGCGCGGTGCTTGGGTTCCTCAAGGGTGCTCTTGAGCCAAAGGCCCGCTGAAGGCTTCTAAGGATTGCTTGCTCGACTTCTGCAAACATCGCAGCTTTTGCTGTGGCGGCAACTCCCTAGAGCGGCAGGATTTAGTGCTTCTTTTTTTATCTTGGGAACTCCACAGAGGGCTAGGAATGAGGGGGTATTTGGGGTGTTTGAATTTAGACGAGAAAGGTGCACTTTCGGGACTTCCTTTTGCGACTCAAGGGGAAGTGCGGCACTGATCCTGTAGCGGCGCAATGGGAACCCTAAGCCTAAACTCAACCTCGAGCCCTAAACCGCCCCAACTCCATCGTGTACCAAACGGCCTCTCGAGGGACTTCAACCCGGGAGACTTCTTCCTGAGACGTTGTAAAGGCGGTGACGGTGGTCACGTTGCTGTCCAGTGCCTGCGACTCGTTGGGCTTGCGGGTTGAAGGATTTAGGCATTAGGGCTGCGGGTTGAGCGATTTAGGGATTCGGGATAAGGGATTTAGGGTTTTGGTCTGAGGGATTTAGGGATTGAGCGATCTAGGGTTTAGGGGATGCACTGCAACTCTTGCAGGGCTGTGATATCACTCTGTCATCAGATATGCTTGTGGCGGTGTTCAAGCCAGGAATTAAAGCTTCCCGGTCTGAAGTCCTCAGTTAAGGCTTGAGGGTGGGGCGTTGCGGGTGTGGGGCCTTTAGGGTTTCATCCCATAGCAAAGTTCAGAACGTCCTTGCAAGCGGGTAAGTACAATAGAACAGAAAAGAATGGAATAGAATAATGTAGGGGCCTTAAGAATGAGAATAGAGTTTTCGAAACCCCCGAATAGTGTAGGTAATCATTAAAGGCCCATCCATGAGAATAGAATAGACGATACTAGGGCTCCTTCGTCTCAACAAGGCCAACTTTCCCGCACTCCTAGAAGTTCGAAGGGCGTCAAACATGGCAGTAGATTGGAAACTGCTTGGAGGTTCATGGTTAGTTATAAGTAGGGTTAGGGTTTAGGTTTTAGGGCTTAAGGGTTTAGGGTTTACTGTAACCATTTTAGGGGACTTCTAAGCCCACTTATAACTAACCATGAACCTCCAAGTACCCGCCTGATAACTACCGCTAAGCCCCCAGGAGCCTACTATGTAGGGCCCATTGGGGGCTCTAGTGCACTATCTAGTAGGTACCTGGGGGGTTGGGTACCCATGGTGTAGTTGGCTTTTGTTGAACCCTGAACCCTAAAACCTAATCTAGAAGCCTTAATAATCAAAATGAGGTGTTGGGGTATACGAATCATACTATAACTATAGTAAGGACCCCCCCCAAAAAACACTGGTGTTGGTGATTGAGTAGGCTCCTATAGTAAACCATGGGCCTCTGGCAAGAAGGCCACAACCTTCAACTGCCCCGTGTCCACCTCTGCTGACACTTCGCCCAAGATTCCGCCTGAGAAAATGCTCAAGATTCGTTAGGGGGGGGGGGGTTCAAGGGCACTTCAAGGCCGGGATACTCACTGCCCTACCCCACTAGTGAAGCATCAAATGGGAAAAGCAAATGAAATAAACGCTGGAGTTTTATGCAAGGATACATCAGAAGCTGGGGCTTGAGACTACAACAGCTGTTTGAGAATTTCCTAGTTTGACAGCCTTCCATATATTCTCTCCATGCATAACATCCCGCTGAGAAACGACTGTCAATCTTTGAGCCAGGAGGACTCTTGAACCAGCAAGCCCTCCCTCAACCCTAAACCCCAAGTGCCAAACCGCACACCAAGGCCTTATACATCCCATAAACACTAACAACACCTTTACAGCAAGGATTTTGGTAACTTCAACCCGAAAATTAGGACCCTATGACTATCATGTGATGGTTATAGGGTCCTAATCCGGGTTGGGGTTACCCCTACGAACTTTTGTTGACCGAAAACACTCTACAAAGCTGCTTAAACAAGGGCCCATGGTCAGGAGTTTTGGCCTAGTTGTTCCAAGACTTGTAGAACTGAATCCTTTACTAATTGCACCCTGCACAAACATGTCAAGCTTTAGACAGGGTCATTGTCAATGAACTCATGAATAAACTTTCGCGAGCTTCACCGAGAGCAAAGACACTTGCGCAGCGCGCGTCACCCCTGGCCCGAACCCTAACGCCCCAACAGTCTTGCACCCAAAAACCCAAGCTCAAAACGCCAAATCATCCCAACCTTAAACCCTAAACCCTAAACCCGGCCTAGACCCCCGGATGTTGCTAGTCCTGAAGCCCCTGGAGCCCATAATATGAACCCAAAACACCCTTGTGCTTAGGCGAGAGTGGGGGGGCTGAACCTTACAATAATCCCTACAAGATCCCGATTTATGCCCTGTAATGGTACGCTTCTTCACTGCCCGAACCTAAACCCTAAACCCGAACCCCTATATTGACTTCCCAACGCACCAGCAAGTCTCATAGAATCACCCACAGCAAGCCTGTTGCGTTACCTTGGCTGGTGTTGAAATTCAAGGACTCTGCCAATTCGGCCGCCATTGCCTGGATTTCCCACAGAGCGGTTCGAGTTCAGGGTGTCGGGCTGTGGGCTTAAGCTGTGCGGGAGTTAATACAGTGTTTGCGCACGCCTGTGGGCACGGATAAGTGGAGAATGCCAAACGGCACGCGAAAAGTCGAAAAACGAAAAATGGTGTAGGATGCGGATTCTGTGCGAAAAACCAGAAAACCCGAAAAATAAAAATGCCGCGAAAAGTCGAACAGAACAGCAAACCGCGAAAAGTCAAAAAGTCGAAAGACCGCGAAACGAAAAGAACAACAAAACGTGAAAAGTCCAAAGTCAAAAAGTCGAAAGCAAAACGCTGCAGAATACGAAGCCTTGGCAAGTTGTGAAGATCTGAAGCATCTAAAACAAAACACTGCAGAATACGAAACCTTGGCAAGTTGTGAAGATCTGAAAGCATCTTGGCATAACTTTCGCCTGCAGAGAGGGAAGGCGTAGATTCAGGATATGGTCAAGGTTTTTGGGTTCTGGGCGAAGTGTTTCGCCATGTTAGGCCAGGTTCAGGCCACGCGACATGCATATTATATCACGTGCTGATGAAACGAAGTCCTGTTGGGCCATGTTCAAGGCACCCTACCTGCATGTCACTTGCGTCCGGTGTGCCGCGCTTAGCGACTTCGTAGATGGCCTTTCAGCCGCAATTCACAGCCGGGTTCAGAGGGTCACTGCAGAACTTTGGTTTGTCATGCCTTAGCCAGGGCAGAACTGAAGCGCGAGAAGCGAAAAGCCGAAAACCCCGAAAAGTATCGAAACGTACAGGAAAACCGGAAATGTCGAAAAGCGCGAGAAGCATCGAAAAGTACAGGAAAAACCGAAAAGTCGAAAAGCCCGACAAGTATAGAAAAGGACAGGAAAAGCCCGAAAAGAGTCGAAAAGCAAACAAACACGCGAAAAGTCGAAAAGGCGAACACTTTTCGACTTTTTGACTTTTCAACTTTTCGAATTCCTTTTCGGATCTCCGCGTATGGAAACCAACACCGGCTTGCGTACTTAGTAGGGTAGTTAGGGTTTAGAATTTCAGGCTTAGGGTAACCAGGATTCAGAACTCGGAGTCATCTTCTTGCCGCCCCCGACTGTGCCCCCGCCGCTAGTTGCCACTGCGACAGCTTGCTCAGCATGAGCAGTATTCCTTACTATTTAGCGCCACTTCCAATCATGCCTGCCCACGGTTCTTACCACCTTTCTTCCCTAAACCCGAAACGCTGGACCTATTCTTCCCTCAACCCTACACCCTAAACCCATTCTTCCCTAAACCTCAAAGCTTAAATCCTACTGGACCCTATTGGTTCGGAATTGGGCACGATCCGGCCCCCCAAAAACACCAGCGTGCTGGCGGGAAGGCGATGAAGAGGGCAGGAGTGACGGTGATGCTTACGTGAGCTGAAGGGTTTTTTAGGGGCCCCCCTTCTACCATCTTTTGAGCCCTAAGCCCTCTATTGGACCCTAAACACCCACCATGAAGGACCATATGCCTTCTTCGAGGGTACCAGAAAAGTCCTGAAATCTGAACAGTTGTGTGAGGACTTGCTCGCAAACTGTTTTGTTCTGCAAGGTACGGAGTTCAGAATATGGCCCATATCAGGTGAGTTGTTGGTGGTGGAACGATTATGCTACAAGATGCTCCATGTCATGTTTCTTATGCCGTTATCCACTAGTTGTCCGTTTGATTCTACGTTCTCGCTACATACCCCTACCCTGCCCCACCTCCTCTTTAGCGTCCACCTGGCGCGAAGCTTTGGAAGCCTGCTGCCCGAAAACAAGAAGCTGAAGTGTTTGGGCGCTTCAAACCCTAAACCCCAACCCTAAACCCCCTTGGAGCCCTGGAGCCCTGAGGCCAAAAAAAGACAAAGTACTACGAATATACCAATTGCCACAAGCGCCACTGAATGTACCATTGTAAGTCTGTTCTCTGGGAGAACCCATAACTCAGGGAGCTTTTCTGGGGGTGGAGGTTCCTAAAACTAGAGTCGCACCTTTGTTTGTGCATGTTTTTAAGTCGTGAGAATTGGGGTTCTGGGGTGGCAGCGGGGACCTAGTCTGCAGAAACTCCCATCTGTTCTCAGGCCAAACCCTAAACCCTAAACCCTACACCAAAGCAAGCTTCTACCTCCAGGTTCTTCCATCTCTATAAAGCCAAACGGATTACACAGAAAAAGTCCAAAAACGTACTAAACAGACTACTTAACCACTGAAGAAAAGAACATGAAGCAGATCGGCTAGTGCTCCGTCTTCGCAATGGGGCCAAGTATGAAACGATGTAACTACACAGGCTCTGAAGCCCTAAACAAAACCGCTACTAGTAGGGTCCAGGGTTTGGGTGGAGCACTTGCGAAGCGTGGTTCCAGAAGACATTTTCATCTGCGGATTTCCAGAAGTTGGGAACATGCTCGTGGCATTTTGGTAACCCCAACCCCGAAAATTAGGACCCTGCAACCATCGTCTGATTGTCATTTGGGTCCTAATTTCGGAGATTGGAGTTACCAACACCCCTTCGTTCTTTGTTCGTTCGTGAGCACCCTAAACCCTAAACCGTGATCATGTAGGCGCCTTAATGATTAGAAAAGGGTTTTGCTATACTTATGGTAAGGAACCCCGAAACCCTGTTCTAATTATTAAGGCCACATTACCTAAACCCTCAACACCTAAACCCTAAACCCTTACATTCAGGTCTGAATTGGAGCTCTCGGTTTTTGGCAACTCATATGGCGAGGCCCGGGTCGGAAACCAATGCAATGCCCCTGCGCATTGGCTTCAGAAGTTTAGAGTTTAGGGCTTTGGGTGTAGGAGTTTGGGGATTTAGGGCTTAGGGCCTAGGGTTGAGGAGTTTAGGGCTTAGGAGTTAGGAGTTTAGGAGTTTAGGGATTTAGGGCTTAGGAGTTTAGGGATTTAGGCCTTAGGGTCTAGGAGTTTAGGGATTTAGGGGTTTAGGGTTTAGGAATTTAGGAGTTTAGAGATTTAAGGTTTAGGGGCTACGCGGTATTAAGAGTTGTAAACCCCACGTCAGACTCAAAAGCCCCATCGCAATCATGTCGGCCAAAAACTACCAATTCACACGGTTCAGGTTTTAGGAGCTACCAATACACCAATACTATCAGAAACACAAGAAGTACAAGAGCCGTTGTCCTGTATGGAACACCAAGCCCAGAACGACGCACAACCGCGCTAGGGCTATAGTCCAAACACCGACTCTCGCCTGCTACCTATATAATCCCGTGTATATCCCCCTTCAAGGGGTTTAAACTAGAGCTCAGTTTCACACGCCTAAACCCCCTGAAATTATGTAAGATTTGTTGGTAGGGTTTAGGGCTTCGTAGCCGACATTGAAGCTGCAAACCCTCCGCCGCTTGGATCGCCTCCTCCTGGCGCCGTTCCTCTCTCTGCTGCATCGCCATCTCCTCCGGACTTCCTGGAGTCCTGTTTGGGGCTTGGGATTGAGGCTTCAGGGTTTGGGGTGTCAAGGATTTGCGCTGCAAGGATGTAGGATGTCGGGCTTAGGGCTTATAAGGCTTCAGGAACTCTGTAAAACCTCACCCTAAATCCAACGCTGGTGGGCAGTATGCTATTGACCGTCTTCCCTGGAGATCTTTTTGGCGGCAGGTTTAGGATCCATTACTAATTAGTGCTTACGGTCTTAAACGCTTTGGGATTAGGGACTAGGGTATATAAGACCAATGTTTCGGGTTGAGGATTGTTTAGGTTTTTGAGGCGCTGCTGACATGAGTTTGCAAGGCGCTGAAAAGGAATTACGATACCCCTCACAAGGTTGTTTAATCCTTTATATATGGGTTAACTAACCACGCCCCTCTATACAATAAGGGCCTTTAGAATAGGGTACACTATAGTTATAATAAGGACCCCCACCACCCCCCCCCAAAAAAAAAA